TGATTGAGGAATGATGAAATGTTTGTTTTAAAAGAAATAAAACTTTTGAACTGAAAAATAAATAAATAAATTACAATAAAAACATTTTAAAATATTCTATGCACAATACATTTAAACGTATTGAGTATAGAATTTTTAAAAATGGTTTATTTTAATTTATTTTTGATAGAATCTTTCTTTAAATAGTCTAAGACAATTTAAAAAAAGAATCTACACACAATAAATTGAAATAAACCATTTAAAAAAATTCTATTCTCAATACTTTTAAATAAAATGATTAAAAAAAATTCTACACACAATAAATAAAATATTCTTTAAAAAAACATTAAAAGCATAAAAGAAAAAAAAACGGGTGACTTACCAGCAGGCAGAATCAGCAGCTCTCCAATGCGATGGATGCAGCAGGGAGCAGGCAGGCGATGAGGCAGCAGGTAAGCTGGACTGAAGGGACAAGGGACAACCAGTTCGGCTAGGCTGGATATGGGGGGGCATGGGGGGGGGGGTAGCAAGAAACATTAGCCTCCCACCGCCACCGCCGCCCACCTCCTTTCGGCCATGTGGTGTATGCCAGCTCGCGGCTTTCGCGAGGTAAGGCCTGAAGGCCGTCCCTCGCGAAAGCTGCGAGTTGGCGTAAGCTAGCCTGCTGTCACTGCCGCTGCTGCTGCCCCCACCCCCGCCGCACACCAGCTTGCCCCCCTGCTCCCGCCACATGCCAGCTCACCTCCCTCTGCTGCTGCCGCTGCCTCCCACCTTCTTTCGGCCACGTGGCGTACGCCAGCTCATGGCTTTCGCAAACTGGTGTAAGCTAGCCCGCCACCGCCCACCGCCTCCCCGCCGTCGCACGCCATTTCACCCCCTCGCTGCTGCCGCCGCCGCCCACCTCCTTTTGGCCACGCGGCGTACACCAGCTTGCGGCTTTCACACGCTGGTGAAAGCTAGCCTGCCGCCGCCCCCCCACCACCACCGCCACCGCACGCCAGCTTGCCCCCTCACCAACGCCACCCACCTCCTTTCGGCCACGCAGCATATGCCAGTTTGTGACTTTTGCAAGGCAAGTCCTGAAGGCCTTCCCTCGCAAAAGCCACGAGCTGGCGTAAGCTAGCTTGCCGCCGCCCCGGTGCACGCCAGCTTGGCTCCCCACTGCCACCGCTGCCATATGCCAGTTCACCCCCTGCTGCCGCTGCACACCAGCTCGCCCCCCATTGCCTCCGCCACCTTCAGGCCTTCCCTTGTGAGAGCCATGAGCTGGTGTAAGCTAGTCTCATCTCCTTCCCCCCCCACCGCCCACCTCCTTTCGGCCACGTAGTGTACGACAGCTCGCCATGAGCTGGCGTAAGCTAGTCTCCCAAAGCCCCCAATGCCCCCACCGCCCCTCCTCGCGCTTAGTTGCTTACCTGAGGGAAGCTGAAAACTGCTAGAAGGCGAAGCGAAACAAAACAAAATGAAGGGAGGACCTGCCACACTTTTAAACAGGTGTTAGAGGCAGGTGGGTCGACTCCAGCCCACTCACTGATTGGCTGGACTCCAGCCAATCAGTGAGAAGCGGGCTGGGCTAGTTTAATGCAGACGGGCAGGGGAGTGAGCGAGCTGCGACGGAACGAGCAGGGCAAGCGAGTGACAGGGCTGGGGCATACGTTCCAGAACTTACTTCTGGGTCCACTGGTGGAACCTCTTCTAACCCGTTCGGTAGATTTTATAAACCGGTTCTACCGAACTGGTGCAAACCGGTAGGAACCCACCTCTGGAGTACTTATAGTCAGCACCCCACATCAAGTAAGGACCATCCTTCAGGAAAAAGCTGGGAGATGGTTTACTAATTCCAGAATTTTAAAATATGAGACAATATTGATGCAGCAGACTGATTTGGTACTAACAATTGATCATAACGTGAATCCTGCCCAGTTTTTGGCCAACCTTAGGCAGATAGATCAGG